TTACTTAAAGTTGTTCATATTAATGTGACTCTCAAGGCTTGAGTTGTGTTGAAATTGTTTTCATAAACATTTTAGACATTTTGATATGCACTTTGATTGTGTGGATCAAACAAACAACAGATTCGTCTTGAATTGACCCTGCTAAATCACAGGTGTCAAACTCGAGGCCCGGGGGCCAAATCTGGCCTGCCAGAGCTTTTTATGCGGCCCTCTAGACTCCAAATTACATCAATAAGTCTTTCCAGATTTTCACAAATCTGTTAAATTCACGAAAAACAAATTTCCACTTTTTTTTCTGATTTTACTGAAAATGTTCTCAAAATCGGTCAAAAACATTGAATCCGTCACCGATATAGCAAGTGGTAAAGAGCCACATTTAACATCATGCATTAACATCATGCTAATGCATGATGTTAAATATTTAGAAATATTTCTAAATATTCATCACAAAATGTCAAAAAAGAAAACACAATCACAAAATCTGTTGGAACAGTTATTTATTGGTATTTTAACAGCTTAATTGGTTTTATCAATATATTCTGGCACAACTGGCCCTTTAAGAACATTCAGATTTCAGATGAGGCCCAAAATGAAAATGAGTTTGACACCTCTGTGCTAAATCATGACTGACCTGTTTTTTCGGCTTTTAGCAAGAAAAATTTTGCTTCAGCAAATTATTTCTCTTATTAGTTTTGTCTTCTGATTGAAAGCAGTATGAAACGTAAATATGAGCTATAATACTGTCTTTTTTATGCTTGTTTTGTTCAATATGTGGAACTTGTTTGAATTTTTTTGTTTGTTTGTTTGTTTGTTTGTTTGCTTTGCAACTAGGTTTTACTGCTGCAGTATTTCCTGAAAAGCATTTCTAGTTTGAGAAAGGTTTCACACTTTTACAAAACCTTGCTAACAGTTAGGTTTGGAAAATCCTTAGTTACAGATGGGAATGAGTCTTAGCTTATCTTAGAATAGTGTATACCTGCTTGCTAATCATCTGCATTGTTTAGATGACTAAAGTCCATCCTGGTTATTATTGGGCTTCCTCACCAATTCTTTGTCCCATTTCATAAACACATATTGTTATTTTGTCACTTCTGACTTCAATTTCCTTTATGTAAACAAATCATTTCATGCTTGTCTACAGGTACTTAGAGCTTCGCACATCAATTTCTAGGAATTATGGGACATAGGAAAGATTATGTAGCTTTCACATAAAAATGTAAATGTAGTAGAAAAGGAGTAATAACATCTATTGATGTCTAAATGCTTTCATAATGTTGTCGAGGCTGATAAAGTAGGCCAGTTAAACCCAACCTGCAACATCTTTGTTAAATATATAAACCTAGTTTACGCTTTAAATCTACATCTACCCTGATATAATAGATACATTTTATTTAGAAACAATAAATGCTCATTACCAGAAAATACGTCTAATGATTTCCATCTGGAAGGTCATGAACTATGCAGACCTCTGCAACAAAAGGTTTTTGTGCTGTTGAACTGAAAACTGCCTTTTGGGCGAATGCAGCATACAAGAAAGTTTACTGAGCGGAAAAAAATCCATCATGTTGCATCTTGATTCTAAAAAGCTTTAAATAAAGTGTTTGCTTGGAGAAAGTGTTTGGTCTGTGATTGCACCACAATGTTATCATTAAACAATTGTTTAATGATAATATTAATGCTGGTGCTCTCAGCTATAGTGAAATCATTGTTCATGCAGACTTCCCTACAATAGATACAGTAACTCTGCAACTGTGTGTTAAACCTACAATCTCCTGATAAATTATTTATACAAACTAAACGCTGTGTATTTTATAAAGATTTTCTGTGATGGAACAACAGAAGGTGGGGAACATTTTTACAAATACTCGTCTCCTTTTTTGCTGTAATTAGAGCCTCAGCTTTATTAATGTGTCTCTCACCAACTTTCCAGATCTAAAGAGAGAAAATGTTACCTATTCATCTAGCAAAAGCATCTCAAGCTCTGCCATATTGGAGACTCCACATCCATGAACATCAATTTTCAGACTTGACCAACCACAAATTCTTTGGTTCTTTCTAACACAGTACTGTGTTTTGATCTAAACCTACTATTATCTACCCTTCTATCCACACTTCTGATTTGTCCTGTACACACCTTAAACAGAATGTCTCATGCGGTTCTTCCAGCAATGTCGTTATTCTTTCCACTCTTTCATAAAAGACAGATCTGTGGAGTAATAATGACAGATTCTCCCACCTCAGCTGTGGATGTGTGTTTACTGCTCTTCTAATGGCCGCCTCTTCTGATTAATGTTGTTCTTTTCCATCCTGTCGCTCCAGAGTGACGGCCACATCCTGGCAGGTTTCCAGCAGGAACCGCTGTCATTCAGTTTTCAGATGATGATTGAACAGAGCTCTATGAAACATTCAGGCTTTGTTTTACAACCTAACCCTGATTTAAACTTCTCCACAACTTTCTCCCCGACCTGCCAGCTGTGTGCCTTGGTCGTTACGCTGCTGGTTGTTCACTAATGTTCTTTAATTACACTGATGTTGAATTAAATTGGACAACAGTAGTGAATTAACTGCTCAGATGACTTCTACAGAGAGTCGTAACGTTGGATTTCATTAATGAGTATGAGATTGTAAGAGTTCATGCGTATGCTATTTAACTTTTCACTGCTAAAAACTGTTCAACATTTTCCTTGAATTTCAAAAAATGTGTTATTTGTGTTGTTCTGTCATAAATCATATACATAATATATGCATACTTAGGTTTTCAGATGTATCGTGAAAAGGTTCTGACATGTTATATTAAACCACTGTTTTAACTTACTATACACTTAATTAAACTGATGTTTTCCTTTAAACCAGGTTTTATCAAGTTGAATATTCATAGATGATTAAACTATGGGCTGCCTGCAGGGCCGGATTTACAATGCTGTGGGCCCCTGGGCTGGAGAAAGCTTTGGTGCCTCAAAGAAAAAAATTAATTGACTAATGCAAATTATCGTACATTAACAAGTAGTCATATACATCAGTTCATACTGATGCATAGTACTTTTAATGGTCTGTGGCTCCATGTTGTTCTAAAAAAATGCACTATAATTTAATTTATTTTTTTTTATATTTATTTTTATAAAAATCCCAAAATATTCATAGAACACACCTGATATGACCCTGTGAATGCAAACATTATTCATACAATGTTTGCAAAACACACATTTATTAAGAAAAAAAAGAAAAAAAAAAACTAAAAAACTGAAACCTCCCAAAAAATGCAGCCCTGGGCAACTGTCCCTGTAAACAAAGATTTCTTTACCCTCCATTGTTTCTTTCTTTCTTTCTTTCTTTCTTTCTTTCTTTCTTCTTTCTTTCTTTCTTTCTTTCTTTATTTTTTTTCTTTCTTTCTTTCTTTCTTTTCTCTCTCTCTCTTTCTTTCTTTTTTTATTTCTTTATTTTTTTTCTTTCTTTCTTTCTTTCCTTCTTTCTTTCTTTCTTTCTTTCCTTCTTTCTTTCTTTCTTTCTTTTTATAATTACAGTAGCATATATTTCAAAATGTGCTCAAAATACCTTTTTCTCCACACCTCATGTCTCCAGCTGATCTTCCCTCTTTGTCGAAACACCAGCTCACACGTCTCAGATGGCACTTATACGAAAACACATCAGCTCTAGTCTGTCGGGGGATTCATTTTCTGTCGTGATACAAAACGTTGATCCACCGAGAGCCAGATGTGAAATGCCAGATTCAAAACCCTTTCACACGTTCCCCTGTAACCTCCCAGCCTCGCGGCGGCCTCATTTGCGGCGGCACACTGAGAACTCATTATGTGAAATCACTTCTTTTCACCCAGCCTGCCAGGCTCCGGCTCCGCTTTCCGGAAAATGCTGACTAAAGCCACCAGCTGATTCACATGATGGCACATCTTTCACACAGTCTATTTTTTTTTTTTTAACCTATTTTCGGAAGAGTGCATTATTTCTTAAGAAAATAAAAACAAGAGGAACGAGCTCGGGTTCTTGTTTGAGCGTAATCAGTCTTATAATTTATACTGCCTTCTTTTCATGACAGCGACAAAATGATTTAGTTGGCTAGAAAAACATTAAACGATCTGCTTTAATAAAGATTAGCCACTTAACCCTCTGGAGCTGCACTGTATTATTCAATTTAATTAAGTTTTACAAATCCCTTCTTGTATGCACTGCCTTCTCTCCATTTGCAACAGATTTCTGTTTGCAATGACAACTATAACTGTGAATCAAACTATTAAGAACTAATAAAGTAGAGCAGATAAGCTTGATAACATGAATATTGATTGAGCTTCTTACTGTTATTTTTTTCTTTTACAAAATAAGAGTTAATATTGTTTACACAGGGCAGGAGGGAGTAATAAATTGCACTTGTAATATTTTCTTAGATTCAGATTTGTGTTATTTTGGTAAATTTTCAACATTACAAAAAAACAAACAAAATAAAATGCTATTTTATAAACCAATAATTTACCAAAAATGGAACAGGCTGAAGCCAAGGCTTAACATAATAACTGTTCATGTACATTTATATTTAAATGTGCATGTATATTGAAATATACATGCATACATCTAGATACAAGCATAAGGTTTTATAATGTTACATTATGAGAATCTTTTAAAGCTCACCAACATAAATGAAGATTATGATCCAACTTTTTCCACAGTTTCACTCCTATAATTTTTGTTCAATGCTTTATACATCATTCTCAGTATTTTATATGCACAAATATATATAGAATGTCTTTACATTTTAAAGTATAACTTTGAATATATAACATGTTTCAGTGTTTCAATAGTTGCTTCCTTTGCTTTTCCCCGTATTCCTGAGCAATGTGACAAATAGGCCACAACCAAGGAGGAAACCTTTTTACATGTATTACATCTTTTCATTTCAAATCCAAGCTCAGGTTGAAGTACCGATGGTGTGTCCGTCCTGGTGAACACTAGGATCAGTGTGTGACTGCTCTGCCTTTCCTCCCCTCTCCCAGCTCCGCTCTCCGCCAGCTGCGCTCCGCAGCTGCTGAGGCTGCGGCATGAGCCTATGCGGCAGGAAGGCGCTGACGTTGCTGAGCAGCGTGTTCGCCGTGTGCGGCCTCGGCCTGCTGGGGATCGCCGTGAGCACCGACTACTGGCTCTACCTGGAGGAGGGCGTCATCCTTCCACTCAACCAGAGCACCGAGATGCGCATGTCGCTTCACTCTGGCCTCTGGAGGGTTTGCTTCCTCGCTGGTGAGTTATAGCATGGAGTCGTAACGAGCGACGACATGAAGCAAAGCGCTGAAGTGAATCTCTTAAGTGCAAACTGATGTTGAAGTTGGATGGATTCTTTATTTATTTATTTATTTCATTTCGCCCAGACAGCGATAATAGACGACATGCTTAGAGATCACTATGCAACTGAACCTCTAGTGAGGTGGAGAACAAGCACAAAAACGAAAAGGAACATTTAAGACGTTTATAGATTCCTGTGAAAACATAAACTTAACTCAGCAGTTGGGGCGATGTGGATTTAAAGTTTCATCGAGATATTTTGCGATATTATATTAGTGTGATGATGATAAAAGAGACAATATTTATATCTTCTTTTTCAGGTAACAGTTGTATGACTGTGAGTGTGTGTCACAGCAATTACAGCCCCACAAACACAAATACTGCTCTTGAGAAACGTGTCGTCTGTAATTAGCTTTTTACTTAAAGAAGAGTGATTTGTTTCACTGAAATGCTCACAGCAGAGCTTTTATATCATTAAAACGTTGTCACACGGTAAACATGACATCACAGTCGTTTTTGAGTGTTTTTGTAAGAACCCCTTCGTCAGTGTGACCTGTGTGTTTTTTTTATAACTCAGTGCCTATTCGCTATTCCATAATCTCACAGCTTAAAAGTTCAAAACTTTACTTTAGGGCTGAGGACAAGGAAGAGGAGGAGAATTGGAAACAAAGTTTAAATAGTCTAAAATATTTAAATGTGATCACTAAATCAGTCTCGTTTGAAGCGTTTACTTTTTAATGCCATGTATTTCTTCCACCTTCTCAACTGCGTTTCTTTTCTTATTTCCTTTCTTCTCTTTTTCCACTTGAATGTTGCAGGTACAGAAGATCAGTGTCTGTGTGAAGCCACCAAATACTTGAGCATGTTTCTCTTCCTCACTTCCTGCTCCTCATTTGAACCAGTCGCTCAAACCTTAATGCATGTGTGTGAGTTTCTGCTCTCGCTGAAACCGTCCGCTATTTTTACTCCGGCTGATCGATGGCTGCTCATGACTTCTCTCCTCACAGCTTAACCCATGACTGACTTACAGTCTGTGCCACTAGATGTTCCTTGGACTGATACCGAAACAAAACAGAAGCCTGTTCTTGTTCCTTTGAACTTTTGCAATAAGTTAGATAGTTGTAATTATTTTAGTTATTTAATGCATGGCTTTGGATGGTAAAGATTACTGTTCCTCCCCCCAACTGCAGCATCATAAAAGGCATGCCTGGATCATTTTAAGAGGACTAACTGCTAGTTTTTAATCTTTTCTTAGAGACAAAACCATCCAGGCAACTTTTTTCTCAGAATAAACCAGGTATTACATTTTACTTTTCTACAAACTATGGACATGACCGCTGGAAACTGTACTGCTGTAGTACATCTGTGTCTCAATAAATGAGAATTTCAAATGATCAAAATGTTTTTGTCCCACTAAATCAGTTCACAAAGTGACACACAGTAGTAGGCTTCATCTGCCTCTGGTCATTTTTCTGATTCTACTGTCAGCTAATTAAAACTCAAAACTTTGTTGTTGTCTTTTCAAGCAAACAACCTTAATGCAACGGGAAATAATTTTGGTTTTCATGTTTTGAAGGATTTATTCTCCTCATAAGCTGCACATTGAGTATCAGTTCAATTGAAATAACTTTGGATGTTCCCAACTTCAATTCAACACAACACATATATTTAACACGACCGTTTACATCTCAAAGGTGTAATCTTCACTCAGCCATGGCACCAGATGCAACTACTGTCACCTTCAATCGTTTTTATACCAACAACCTGAAATGGATAAACATGTTTATCACTCATCAGTTCTTCAGTGACGACGTTTGTTGCTCCGTTTCCGACGAAGACGAATCTTTCAGCCAAGTTGACGTCAGATTGACTTCACATTTTAACTTTCAAACTTGCTGCTAAGTTCACACTTGCTGGAAAGGAAGTGAAAATTTCAAACCAGGCCAATTTTCTCACAAACAACAGCACATGAGATCGGCATGAATGTGGAAATGTGGCCTCTTTTTTAGTTTGCAGCACAAACGTTGCATGTATGTGTTGTAGATTCCAGTCAGTTCAGAATAACAGTGTTTCTTTCTCTTGTAATTTTATTTATTGTGTGTGTGTGTGTGTGTGTGTGTGTGTGTGTGTGTGTGTGTGTGTGTGTGTGTGTGTGTGTGTGTGTGTGTGTGTGTTGTTGACTGTGTGGGTTTTCATCCCAGCGGGGAGTGATCAAAAATAAACTAAGTTCAGCTGCAGTCGATTTCATGCTGGTACATTTTGCCCGTTTTAAATCACACGCAGTGCTTTTCTTTCCCAAACTTTAATGGAACTGGGATGTTTTCCAAGAAAATCCAGCATTTACATGAACACACATACAAAGATGTTCAAAAAATATATCTACTACTTTTTTTAAAAAAAAAAAAAAAAAAAAAAAAAAAACCATCACAGCATGCAGTGGTTTCAATTACACTTCATTTTATCCAATTAAGTTTGATCTGTAAAGTCCGAGGAAATGAATATGGTCCCTTTTTTAAGTCTCTTTACATTTCTTATAAAAGTCATTCCTTTTCTTTTATCCTACTGACATTGCTAATATTGTGTGTGTGTTTTTTTACGACCACCATCATCATTAGTCTGTTTTTCACATGCTATATTGAGTGAAGGTGTCAGGAAAAGAGGAAAAGAAATTGACTGGGTCCAGTTGTCCACTGTCCAGCTCCATTAACCTCTGACTTGTCCTGTTTTAATCACTTAGTCATAGTAAACATGCATCCAAATCCAGCTGTGATTAGATAACAGATGCTATCCTGTGACTATCCAGGTCATGCTGAGCAACACGTTACCACAGGTTCGGTGAGTCTTTTAGGGGATATTGAGTGGCCTTGTTCCCCATTTAGCTATTGTGTTGGTAAGTGTTTGACCCAGAATCACCAATTAAAACCTTTTTGGTCAGATGGTTCACACCACACTTTGTGGTAAAAGTTTCTAAAACTTCACAAATACATTGAATCACTTTGACTATATTATTAATTATGCAGTGACACAATAGGAGCAACTTGCAGAGACCAGTTAAAACAACATGTACGGTTTTGAAGTGTGGGAGAAAGAACCGTATTAGAAATCCTATAAATAATGTTTTCTGCCTTTATAGCCTCCTGACTATACTGATTATACTTTTAATGACCTTTTTTTAATGTAGCATAACATCAACAACTGGCTTTTCTGTAAAAAAAAAAAAACAACAACAAAAAAAACTACAGCATGCTAATATACAGTTGTATATTTTCAATTTATGAACCCATACTGTGAAAGCTAGTTAGATATGACCAGACCTCACCTCTTCTGACGCCTCGCTGTGTTTGGGGTTAACGAGGTGCCAGGAAACTCACCACAGTGTCGGTTTTTACAGAGTGCAGATAAAAAAAGACGGTGTTAAATTCTAACGTCGGGTTTTCTTCAAGCGCACACTGACAGCCGAAGCTGCGCCTCACATCAGCCAGCCTGTAGAGATGATATTTCTTTTCAACATCACTTCCTGCACATTCACAGATGGCATAAATAGAAGCTCTCTCACCCAGATTCACAAAATGTTCTCGATCCAGCCGAAACGTAGGTGAATGCTAAATGTTTCCCAACGAGGCTGAGTCGTCGTGCTTTGTCTCATTTGGGAGGCAAAATTGTGTAGTGAATTACAAAAAGTTTTCCTGATTCACGTCAATCTGAACTGATGAGGTTTTCTCTTTTTTCCCCTTGATTTCAGGTGAAGAGAAAGGCCGGTGTTTTACCATTGAGTATGTGATGCCTACTAACGTCCAGATAACGTCTGAGTCCACCGTCAGTGTGCTCAGTAAGTATTCACTCACTCAAACTTTTCAAGCTACACAAAACATGAATCCAAACTGGCTTTTGTTTCAAAAAGAGTTCAGACTGGGACAAGTAACCAAAAAAAGACTTGATTTAAAAACATAAACCCAGTGAGACATACTAGGAATCACTCTTCAAGAAAGTCGTGTTGTTTTAATATACGACAGAGGAACGAAGAGTTTATCATCTTTAAACTTCTTCCTCTCAGAGGGACTTTTTAAAAAAAAAAAAAAAAAAAAACTTCTCTCCTGTCGTCTTAGAGATGATCCGCTCTGCTACTCCGTTTCCTCTGGTCAGCCTCTTCTTCATGTTCATCGGCTTCGTGCTCAGCAACATCGGCCATATCCGACCGCATCGCACCATCCTGGCGTTTGTTTCCGGAATCTTCTTCATCCTCTCAGGTACTTCCCGTAGAGTCCAGCAGTAACGCGTACTGCCGTCCGCATCAAATCAGTGATTACGATTTCTGTGAGAAGCATGACTGACCCGCCTCACGGCGCCCCGCAGGTCTGTCTCTGGTCGTCGGTCTGGTTCTGTACATCTCCAACATCAACGATGAAATGTTGAACAGGACGAAAACGAATGAGGCTTACTTCAGCTACAAGTACGGCTGGTCTTTTGCGTTCGCCGCCATCTCCTTCCTGCTGACAGAGGTAAACCTCACAACGAACCGTTTCTGCCTTGGTTGCCTCTGTTTCTGTTTAACGGAGACTTGCAAAGGTTTTAATTCCCCTTGTGCTTTTGCACACCTTGTCGCACTGCAACGAGAGTTTATTTAACAGAACAACACAAATTAGTACATAAACGGGGAAAAAACATTTCATGTCTTATACAGATAAAAAATTAAAAATGCAGCATGCATTTTTGTGCAGTTCCCCGCCCCCCCCTTTCTCTGATGTGTACAGTGTAACAAATGGCTTGTTGAGAAGTCACGCAATCAGAGAGCAACTGTGTGCTGCAGAATGAAAAACTAAATGAAATTGACTCTAAACTTACATAAAAAAGAACAATAGGAGGGTGTACATCAAACATACAGCATTTGGATGTGTTAAAATGGTCCAGTCAAAGGCCAGACCTGCATCCAATTAAACATCTGTGGCAAGAGTTGGAAAATATTTGCTCTTCATCTAGATTTAATCAGCTTGAGCTTTCTGTAAGGAAGCACGGACAGAGCTAGTAAAGACAAACCCAGAAATCCTGAGAAAGGTGGGAGCTGAATACAAATATCAACTGTATCAATAGTAATAATAATAACAACAAAATGATTTGAAATTTGACTGCAGTGTCACTTAAACACTTGGGACTTGACTTGGGCTTGAGACAATGTCTTGTGAGCGTCCCTTTAATGTTAAAGGTTGCCCAGGTGGACCTTGACTCTCCTCTGTGTTTCCCGGCTCCTCCAGACGGCGGGCGTCATGTCGGTGTACCTGTTCATGAAGCGATACACGGCGGAGGAAATGTACCGGCCCCATCAGGGCTTCTACCAGCCCCGCCTCAGCAACTGCTCAGACTACTCGGGCCAGTTCCTCCACCCGGACGCCTGGGCGGGGCGTGGCCGCAGCCCCTCCTCCATCTCCTCCGAGGCCTCCCTGCAGATGAACTCCTCCAACTACCCCGCCCTCCTCAAATGTCCAGAGTACGAACAAATGTCCTCCTCACCCTGCTGAGGCGCAGCAACGCCGCTCTACGCTAACACCCATGGGGGAGGGTTGATTTTATTTAACTTTTTTCTGCCCACGTTTTGGCATTTAGTTGTCAAATAATTTGATATCATCCATTTTGAAATCCTCGCTTTGGATGCTTGTAACATTTCTCTTTGCTCTCTCGACTGCTCCGTTCGTAGCTTTGAGTTTTGGGTTTGAAAGAAGCAAAGCATGAGGTTACGCCATGTGCTTCGGATGAAAGAGGAAGGTTCAACTCCAGCTCTGTTATTTAATGACTCATGCAGACTTTGCATGTTAGACACACACAAAAAAATCCGAACATATGGCTGGGAAGTTTACATAGAAAGCATTAACCAATCGGTCTTGTTGCCGACTTTAAGGAAACTTTCTCAGGAAAGTTATTTCATTAAAAAAATAAAGTTATATCATAAAATTTCTTTACAAGCTGCAGTTTGCTGCTGCAAATGTATTGTGCACATTATTTTTCGAGCATGTTTACATTATGTTCAGAACCACATTTCAGAACAAACGTTTTGAATGGCACAACTCTGCAGAGATCCTCTCACTCTACGTAAAATCAGCTTTATTATATAAAACTCCCTTTTTTTTACAGGCAAGCAGTTCTACAGGCATACAGGATGGCAGTGATTGTGAAAAGATATGACTGATATTTATGTAATCATTGCCTAATTTCTATTCTCAGAGTATTTCACTGTACATTCTCATGTTTCACAGACCTTTGGTCAACTTCCAGAAATATAAACGTGTTTTCACCTCACTGCACTGGCACTGAGAAGAAACTATGGGTTTTGCATTTTTAACGACTCATGTAAAGGTGCATTAAAGCTGTTATTTGAATTTGTGGATGACTGTTTAAATTTAGACATACTTGTTATGTGTACTCGCAAAGCTAAAATATATATAAATATGTATAGCCTTTACCATGCTCTCTCTCAATTTATGATGGAAAAATGCACAGTAGCTTTACTTTGTGAACCAGAAAATGTGTTCTTAGCCAAGCAGATTTTCACAGAAGGTGAAGTGAGGTAACATTTCTAAAGAAAGCAAGCAGCAATCTGTTGATTGTGGTCATCAAGTCAAATGGATTTGTGGATGTGGAGTGTGATAAGACCGGAAGGGACGTGTGGTTACTCGTGTTTCAAGTGGAATGTGATTGCGTCAGGTGGAGTTAAGAACTATTTTCATATAAAGTCGTCGTGAATGTAAGACGTGCCGAAAGAAAACACTGCTAAAAGAGATTTCCAGCTCCGAATACCTCCCCTCACGGGATAGTGTGCAGTATTAACCCAAATTACAGAGACATATTTTTATAACGGATCACCTTGTAACGTCAGAACATACAGATGTATCATGCCTACATGTGTGCATTTAATGCAGCAGCAAGCGTTCACTGGACCCGTATATTTAGTCTCGTGCAATCAGTTCAGTATTTTTATTGAAATTATTGTTACTATATAATGTTGCATGGTGAGAACGCCACGTGAAATGACTGGTTTGTAGCATTCTGTCGCTGAAACGCGACACATTCAGTGCATCACAAACCGCAAATGAGCTCAACTCTTGCCCTCAAGCACCGTTTTGGTAGGCTGAGCTGTAAACAAAAAAAAAAAAAGTTGCTCGTTTTAAACGCTGTACATATTAAATCATTGGCGAGCACACAAACTCCTTTTTGTATAAATGGCGCTGTATGTAAAAACTGTTAGGTTGTGTCACCTATGTAGCTCCGTATACCGTGTGTCCAACAGCTGCTTTGCTTCCTGCTTCACGACAACAGTGTGAGCTTCTGCGTAATGTTAAGCTGACATGTAGTATATAAGTACATGGTATCATAGTCAAACATGAAATATGTATGTGCATATATATATATATTGAAATATTTTTTTGCAGTCATATTCACGGTGTTAAATGTGAACTGGATGGTGTAGACTCAACAAAATAAAATTAATGTGATTTGCTAAATGCTGCCTGTTTTCTCTTTGACTACTTCAGCTCCTAAAACATTTCAATCTCCCTGAAAACAAAACTGTACACTGAACCACCAAAGCTGCAGGATTTGAGCTCCTTGTTGGCAGTCACTAAATAAATTTAAAAAAATAAAGGTTTTGTTGTGCACTACCACCACCTACTGAAGTGGTAAGTGGGTCTGCAAGTTTAACATACATCTTGTCTCGTTAAAGCCTCTGGTTCTGACATCATGACAAAGACAATGAAAAGCATGATTTGTGATATGCTGACCACACAAGAATACTCAGATATACTTTTAGAAAAGTATTCAAACAATAATTAAAGTATTGTAGATATATTGAAAGATGTGTTTCGCTCTTACAGGAAATATGGGAGCGAATGCAAATGCACCATGTTGCCAAAAGTATTGGGTCACTTGCATTTATGGACATATTAACTTAAATTATATCTCAGTTTAGGTAAAAGGATGAAGATGTGATACAGCTCCAGCTCTTCTTCTATGATGGTCTGCAAAGTGATGGTATGACTTGAACCACAGTCTGCTCTCTGTCCCAAAGCTGTTCCGTCAGGCTGGGATAAAAACTCTGTGCAGGGGCATTCAACTTTGTCCAACATACACATCTGCGTCTGTACAGACTTTGTTTGGTGGACTTCTGTGTGGTAAAGTTGGAACAGGAAAGAACTGTCCCCAGAGAGGTATGTCTCATCACCCCAAAGAACGAGACATTTTGCACTCATCTGTACAGCAGTGAACAGAGATCCGATTGTGTCTGAAAATAGAGTCTGAAGGAAGCAAAGCGTAAAGAAAAAAAGAAGAGGACCAAGAATTGAACCCTGAGGAACCCCTCAGAAAGGAGGGCTGAGGTGGACAGAACCTTTTCTAAACATTCTGTTGCTCAAGCAGGAATGAAGCCAATCCAGTGTTTAAGAGAGACATATGAAAACTGTGGTCTACAGCATGAAACGCTGCTTTAACGTCTAAACGCACAACAATCAGAGAGCTTCCAGAACAATACTGCCTGCATGAAGACATTTTTAAAAGCTTACATGAAGTGAGTGAATACTGTCTTATTATGTGACAGTAAGTGTTTTTTTGTTATTTATTTATTTATGTTGCTTTATATATACTATATCGATATGTTTTTGGTTTGTTTTCTTCAGCAAAATGTAACATTTTATCTGCTGTTAAGAAAATAGAAAAATATCACAATCTGCTGACTTACAAGTAGAAAAGCATCACTGGTGCAGAATTTAAAAATAATATAATTATCTCTTTAATTTGACACTTTTCTGGGTTTTGTTTTTGGAATTTAGCCATGAATGAATGACAGGATTGTTTAACTGAGCCCGTAATTCTACTCTCACCAATCACATATTAGACCTCAGTGTGACTGTGGGAGCTGGCATTCATCCGTCTGGGTTAATGGTACGTAATTGGAGCTAATGGTGAAATGGAAAATGCTAATCTCCATGAAAGGATGATGTGAGGTTCTGATCCAATGAACTGGGATGATAGACAGGAACCATTCACTGACTGACTGGAAAAAAAAACATTGGCTTTTAATACCACTGACTAGAAAAGAAAGAGGAAAAAAACACATAAATTATACATCATGTGCAGTTTTTTTTTTCAATTATTGACCAGTGTTGACTTTTCTTGCTCTGTTTTTTATTCTTCAATAGCTCCATCTAGTGTCTCTGTTGTGACAACACAGACTTTCAGCCCGTTCCTTTTTAAATCAAGTAAATAATTTCCACCAAAGTCTCTTTGGTGCCACAAAAGGACATAAAATATTTCAGTATTCAACAACACATTATAATCTCTTCCTAACAGCAGATAAAGTGTGACAAATATGCAATTTAAAATGATGAAGAGACTCAACTTGATTCAAGTTAAATCATTTAGGATGCAAGTTGAGATTTAAGTCACGGCAAAATTAACTAAACTGCAGTAATGTTTATTAATTTTTTATTTATTTTTTTTACTTTAGGTGTGAAACTCAAGAAACTGTTTTTGTTTTGCTGTTTATAGAAAACTCTCATATTTTCTGCACCAGCCGTCCTTGAATATATGAGCAGGAAAGCTTCCAGGATGAATCATTATTTTTTCATTTTTACTGCTACAGGCAAAATGTTCAAATATTGCTCCTCACATAGTTAATAACTGGGTTTGCAGCTTTGAAATAATAATAATAATAATAATAATAATAATAATAATAATAATAATAATAATAATAATAAAAACGGTTGAATCTGTAGGCTCTAACAGAAAATGTGCTTCAAATTGTAATTACTTTGATATAATAAAGGTAATTAAATTTTGAATCAATTTGGAAATGTTTCATGTATCACATGTTTCATCATTATATTATTTAGATTATATTGAAATATTTGCCATAGACACAAAAAACAATTACCAGGGATTCACTGAGTCACTTTTTTCACTTTCAATAAATCAATATTTTTAGGTTTAGCGTCGGCCGATACCGATACAGAAACAGTTCTGAACCAACTTGGACGTTTCTTTTCTTAAACATGGGTGTAAATGTGCTGAGTTACAAACTCAGTCCAGCACTGAATGAAACACAACAGCAGGTTCACAAGCCTGGTGAAACACGTAGAAGCGACAAACCATAAAGAAACTGAAACGGACAAAAGCAACAGGTCGAGGACCCTGGTCAAACGTGTCAAAATGAATAGAAACAAACCTTCTGTGAAATAGTTCAGAAAATACAATCAGGAATTTTAAATAAAACATAAAATAAATAATAAAGCGTGACATCACTCAGAGCACAAAGCATAGATTTAAACTGAATAGATCCGCCATTATGAACCAGGCACGTTGTTGCGATACACTGTCTGTTTTTGTTTTTGTTTGTTTGTTTTCTAATATCGGTACCGTTACAGACATTATCGGATCGGTGAATTATGACCAACCATGGATTCCTGCAACTTCAAAACTGGAAAAGAAATTTTCGAGTCATGTCTTTATTTTACAAGGTAAATTTTCATGTCTACATTTTTTTACTAATCGTCAAAACCAAATGACAAGTGGGAGGTTTAACAAATCTCAGTCTGTCTATCTATCTATCTATCTATCTATCTATCTATCTATCTATCTATCTATCTATCTATCTATCTATCTATCTATCTGCTTAAATCTCAGAACTTTTGAAAGAGGAAACCGCGTCTTTTAAATGAATCTTTAACCATCAGGTCTCGTATGGACTCCGCCTCAGTCCCTCCACTTCACTAATTGCTCCCTGCCAACCATGCAGAGATTCTGAATCGTCAGCAAGCAGATGGTTCACACAGCAGACC